TTGAAAAGTCCGAAAGGCAGTTGGTGATACAAAGTTGAAGGTCATTGATTCTTTTTGGACTTCCATGTTCTGCCCCCCTATAAAATGAGGGGATTGACCAGATGACCTCTAAGATCTCTTCCAGGTCTAAATCGTCTCTCTTCCACAACTCTGAAGAGCCCCTTGTTGGTGGTCTGTCAATAGACTATGATTCAGCTGGACTCCTGTGGATGAAAAGAAAATCCATTTCTTCCAGTTCCAAGAAAAGGCCATATTACAAAGTCAGGTCAAGCTTTAGAGCACAGCTAAGATTCATTTCACTGGTGTGTTTATTTTCTGGAGCTCTTTAAGGAATTTGCTGAGTGTTCCTATTTCAACCAGCAGTCCCAGACCCCATATCCATGCTGTTCATAGTTGAAAATTGGGCCATTTCTGTGACTCAGCACTATGTAACTCATCAATTTCAAGTTTAAAATTAACTGCAGAATGCAAAACAGACAATTTGGTTGGGGGGGCGAGGGAAGAAGGTAAGCACATTTTGCAACATAAAAGGCATGTTAAAATGTAAATCATTTGGGAGATTGTAAACTGTCTAGGGAAAAGGCAGCCAGTTGTTTGTTTGTTTTTTTAAAATCCAATGCAGTTTAAAACTCTTCAGGAATTTTTTTTTAATCAAAGGATCCATTCTCCAAGATGTTATTTTGGATATCCTTCTGATAGCAATTGGCATGCTTCATCTTAGTATTTCAGCAGCACTGAAAGCCATAACACTCAAATTACAGTTTCTAAAAAATAAAAATAAAAACAAAAACAGTTCTATGAACATGCCCAGATTAATATATTCATTTCTGAAACTGTCCTCTGTCTTGTCTCAGATGTTCAGGGTAAAAATGTTATACTATATATGTATTTACTTTTCCAACAAAGGAGAGCTGGAGTGGGAGATGAAGTCCTGGGCCCAGTGCCTGGCACATAGTAGGCATTTAATAAACGCTTATTTACTTGACTTGTTGACTTCAAGTGGCCCCAAAAGGCACAACTAGGAAGGCTGAATTAAGCTCAATGATAAGGAAGACTTTCTTAACAATTCAAGCTTAATGCAATAATAGGATGGGCTGCTCCAGGAGATAATGAGTTCCCTGTCACTAGAGGTCTTCAAGCAAAAGATGGATGACTGACTGCTCCCAAGGGAGTTGTGCTTCCGGCAGAGATTGGATTAGAGGACTTTTGAGATTCCTTCCAGCATCTAATATTTTAATAGACTATTTTGTCCATTTGTTAATTATGGGATTATTCTGATCAGGAGCAAGTCATCTGATGGTTTCCCATTGTCCATGGAAAATGGTCTTCTGATCTCAGTTGACCCATGATGTGGTAGAAAAAAGCCAATCCAACAAAAGATCATTGTGGTTTTTCCTTTCTTTTGCCGACAGAATCAAACTCTGTTTGACCCTTCTCCCCTTCCCCCATCCTACCCCCACTTCTTTTGTGAAAGGGCTGAATCAAAAAGTCAGTCCTTGGTGCCAGAGATTCCTTCGGAATCATTATTCACTATCAGCAAATAAGAAAATTGCTTAAAAGGACCAGCTTTACATGTAGGTGAAATATGTGGTTGCCTATGGGGAGATTTCCCCACAAATTAAAAGCTGATTTATTGTTCTTTATAAAGCAACAGTTAAGGGAGGGCAAAGTAGGGTTTTGCCCCAAGGCACTGAAATTAGAGCTAGCTGAAAGTACTTGTACTCCTTATGCAAAAGATGTAACAGAGTTTATCCCTAGTTAGCAAGAAGAATTAGTTTAAAAAGGAGGCCACCAAATGGTCCACTTCTCACCAGTGGCCATCCCACAGGTGAGCTCTATCCTGGCTAGACCAATGCTCCCTTCTCCACAAAGGGTCCTCCCCTGCAGTGGCCTCAAAGGATCCCTGTGTGTCTCTCTGCCCACTAACCAGTGTCCTGGCTTAAGTGCACATTTCTTGTCACTTGCCTAGGGCATCATTTATTATTCTCCGAGAGTAAAAACCAAAAGTTGGATCTCTGCTTCTTTGTACGAGAAAAATAACAGCTTATGAGTCTATAAGCCTTTCTGGTTTACAAATACTTTCCTCACAACTGCATTGAACAATAGTCAGTTCAAGTATATTATTCTTGTGCCCATCTTACAGAAGAAAAAACTCAAGGAAAGTGATTTGCTCAAGGTCACATAGAAAGCAAACTTAAGAGTCAAAATTAAAATGCAGTGCTTAGAATATGACTTTGCCCATAGGAGACAAGTAGGAAATATCTATTGAGTGAATTAATCCAGATCTTCTACGGCAGTTTTTAAGCTTTGTAGTATTTTATTTTTTCCCCAGTTACACTTTGAGAACATTTTTAGCATTCATTTTTATGAGATTTTGAGTTCCAAGTTTTCTCTCTCCCTCTCTCACCTCCCCTCTTCTGAAAATGGTAAGCAGTTTGATATAGTTTATACATGTGCTATCATGGAAAAAAATATTTCCATATTTGTCACAGTTGTGAAAAAAGAAACAGATCAAAAGGGAAAGAAAACCACGAGAAAGAATAAAGTAAATTTAAAAAAAATGTTTCAATCTGCATTCAGAGTTCATCAGTTCTTTGTGTGCCTGTGGGGAGTGTTTTCCTTCCTGAGTCCTTTGTACTTGTCTTAGGTCACTGTGTTACTGAGAAGAGCTGAGTCATTCATAGTTGACCATCATACAATGTTGCTGATACTGTATACAATGTTTTCATGGCTCTGCTCATTTTACTTTGCATCAGTGTGTACAAGTCTTTCCAAGTTTTTCTGAAATCTGCATGTTTTATCATCATTATCAGAGACACTTGCTGTAAAGATTGTTTCCCAGCTTTCTGCTTTCTTTTTAATCTTGGTTACATTGGTTTTGTTTGTACAAAAGCTTTTTAATTTATTATAATCAAAATTATCTATTTTATATTTTGTAATGCTCTCTATCTCTTATTCAGTCCCGAATTCTTCCTCTCCTCGTAGATCTGACAGGAAAACTATCCTTTGGTCTTCTAATTTGCTTATGGTGTCACCCTTTATATCTAAATCATTCACCCATTTTGACCTTATCTTGGTATTTGGTGTGAGGTGTTGGTATATACCTACTTTGTGTCCTATTGTTTTCCTTTTTCCCTTTTTGTCAAATAGTGAGTTCTTATCCCAAAAGCTGAAGTCTTTGGGTTTATCATATACTAGGTTACCATGGCCACTGACTACCGTGTCTTATGTACCTGATCTATTCCACTGGTCCACCACTCTATTTCTTAGCCAGTTCTAGATAGTCTTGATGATTATTGCTTTATAATATAGTTTGAGATCTGGTATTGCTAGGCCACCTTCCTTTGTATTTTTTTTTCATTAATTCCCTTGATATTCTTGACCTTTTGTTCTTCCAGATGAATTTTGTTCTTATTTTTTCTACTCTATAAAATAATTTTTTGGCAGTTTGATTAGTATGACACTAAATAAGTAAATTAGGCAGAATTGTCGTCTTTATTATATTGAACAATTAATATTTTTCAAATTGTTTAGCTCTGACTTTATTTGTGTGAAAGGTTTTTTGCAATTGTGTTCATATAGTTTCTGGGTTTTTCTTGGCAGGTAGGCTCCTAAGTATTTTCTGTTGTTTACAGTTATTTTAAATGGAGGGTTCCTTCCCTTATACCATGTTTAAATAAACTCCTGCCATTACTATGGCCAATTCTGTACCTTTATAGAACTCTGCCTTGGCCAGATCTGTTACCTCCTGTTATTATTAACTTATACTGAAAGTTATCTTCAATGTCACTTCACCTCCACCATACTGAACTTCAAGGGAAGAAACAATGTTTGCAAAATACTGACTGAAAAAAATCAGGAAGGAGAGAGAAATGTTTATCTTCAAGCTCTTGAGAAAATCTTAAACATACTTTGGTAAGAGGAAAAGAGCTCCTCAAAGTGGCATTGGCCTTTAATTAAGCTATCACACACTTGGTATTGAATGTCAGAGCTAAGCACGCCCTTAGAACATAAAACAAAGGACGTCAAAACTAAGTGGTACTTTGAGATGGACAAGGTCAGACGACAAGAGAACTTAGAGGCAGAAGGTAGAGTGTGGGAACTGAAAGGAGCCCTAGAGTATAAAACATATCATCAGAACTGGAGGTGGGCTTAAAGAATATCTACTTCAATTCCCTCACTTTATAGTAAGAAACTGAAGCCTAGAGTAGGGATCTGACATGTTGGATACTACATATGGTGGCAGACACCGAACTAGAGTTGGGGTGTCCTGGCTCCTTGTCTGGGTCTCTGCATAGAAGGATAGGGTTTAGAGCTAGAAGAGCCGTTCTGGACCTCTTATTTTTGCAGCTGGAGAAATGGAGATAGGGAGAGCTCAAATAACGATACCAGGATGCACAAGTAATAAGATAGCAAAGCCAGAACTGAACTTTGAATCCTCTCCACTAGACCAGGCTGCTTGAATTTCTTGGAGCATTCATACCTTCCACTGTGTAAACTTGCTTCTTTGTTTTACAGTTCAGAAATAATTTGGATTAGCTCCTAGTTGCTCTGGTTGAAGGAGGGGTGAATGGGGAATGTTTTATTAAACCCAACTCAAAATGACAAATGAAAAAGAAAAATTGCAGTAAATCACCCAGTGGTTTCTTTGAAATAACCTCTAAATCAGCAAGAATTTTAAGCACACTAACCATTCTTTATGAGTGAAACTCCACAGGTCGCTTCTTCTGGGAATCGGTGGGACTTGGGTAATGAATAGCCAGGGTAACTAGCAAATGCTTTTAAATGAACTGGCATTGTGTTTGGCACTTCTGCTCTCAACTTTATAAGTTTGGGGCTGATGAAAGAAGAATGAAACACTAGCCTACAACACAAATTAGAGCTTCCAACAGCATTTCCTTGGGATCATTCAGACACTCTGCAACTTGAAAGAAACCAGACGCTGCCATGGGTCTTTAAGTGCTGAAGAGGCCAATTTCAAAAGAGGGGGAAAAGCTCACCTTCCTTTCAGACGTGCATATGAAAGCAGTATCTCCAATAAGATGGTAACTTGAGAACAGCTGGAAAGTTTGTACTGGAGGATTTCTCCCAGGAAATGTGGAGTAAGTCTGGCCTGGGAATTAGGAGATCTGGCTTCTAGGTCTGGCTCTAATTCTCTATGCCACATTATTCATCACTTCCTTGCTGTGGGCCTCAGTTTCCTCATCTGTAAAACATCAGTTTGATTCAATTCAAGAATTTATCCATTGGACAGATATTTATTAATTGCCTAGTATTCCCAGGAATTATGCTATGGATATAGAAAAACAGAAATGAGGTAGTCCCTGCCCTCAAGGGGATTATATTCTGCTGTCAGTTAGGTGACCATCAATCCTTTCAAGTTTTGACACTCCATGATTATTTAAATGTTAAAATCTGAAGATCTCTAAATTGCTAAAATCTCAGAATTAGAAGGAACTTCACAGGTAATTTCTTTATACCTCTACCTAAAGTAACATTTCTTTATAGCATTCCATAATAAAAATGTTTAGAGATAAAAATTTTCCCCTTAGGACTGCTGTAGCTACATCTCAAAAGTTTTGGCACGTAGTCACTTGTGATTTTTGATAAAATATTCTATTGTTTCTTTGATTTGTTCTTTGATCCACTGGTTCTTTAGAATTAATTTTAATTCTAAATTGCATTTAGGATTTAAATTTCATTTCCAATTTATTTTGAGCCTTTCTTTGAAGCTTTTTTGAATATGATTTTATTGCATTATGGCCAATACATGATATATTTGATATTTTTGCTTTTCTCTTTTTGTTTGTGAAGCTTTGTGTCCTAGTTCATAGCAAATTTTTCTAAAGATATCATACACTTTCCCCATTCAGTAGTCATCAGAAATCTATCACATCTTACTTCTCTAAAATTCTATTCAGGTCCTTAACTTTTTTTTTTTATCTTTTTGTTAAATTTGTTTAGGTTTGAAAGGTGTACCTTGAGGTCCCTAAATATTATAGTTTTACTGTTTCTCCCTGCAATTTGACTAACTTTTCCCTTAAGAATTTAGATGCTATTCTATTCAGTGCGTATGTATTAAGTGTTATATTGACTTATTATCTATGGTGCCATTGAACATAATGTAGTTTGCTGGTTTATCTCTTAGTCACATCTCTTTTTAACTTTTCCTAAGATCATGATTGCTACCCCGCTTTTTTAAGTTCCCTTAAAACTAAATGAATTTTGTTACAGCACCTTATTTTTGACTCTATGTGAATCATTCTGTCTTAAGTGTTTTTTGTAAGCAGCATATAATAATAATAATAATGACAGCTGGCACATACTTTGACATTTGTAAATCACTTTACGAATATTATCTCACTTTATCTTCACATTAACCAAAGGGATGTAGGTGCTAGTATTATTCCTATTTTACAGATGAGGAGACTGAAGCAAACAAAGATTAAGTGACTTGCCTAAAGTCATATAGCCAAATAAGTATCTGAGACTGGGTTTGAACTCAGGTCTTCCTGACTGCAGGTTCAGCTCTCTGTCCACTGTACCACATTGTTAGATTCTGTTTTGTAATCTATTCTGCTATCCTCTTCCAATTTATAAGTGAATTCATCTCACATACCTCTGTATTTCTCTCCATCACATTCTCTTGTACTTTTTCCTCTTTTACCCCCATACCTCTCTTTACAAAGAAGATGGTAAAAGAGGAGTGTACCTAACACTAGTGATCTACAATTGAAGTGATCCATTTCTACTCTACTGCCTTTCTTTTGTTCTCCTAGGTGCACCCCAGCTTATAGATTTTTAGTCTCTCCTTTTAGTCACCCTTTCATGCTTCATCCTGTGACTCCGCAGTTTATTTTGCTTATGACTAATCCCTTATCAAACCTACCCTCCCTCTCAAACCTCCTCCTCTCCCTCTCCCCCAACCTATTTCCCTGTTATATTTAATGTATTTCTACATCAAACTGTGTGTGCAATCCCACTTTTGTTCAGTTCAGACGAGAGTGAGGTTCATGTAATGCCCAATCTCTTTTCTTCCATGTTTATATATGTAACCTGAGCCTCGAAGTCCTTTTGCACAAGACTCTCCTCATTGGTGGAGATTGATTACTCAAAGCTTTGTAACTTCATGAGAGGCAGAGTGTAATTCTTAGACAAGGCTTGTTACCTTTTATTCCAAAAGCTATTAATTCTCTTTCTTATTCTTTCTTCCCAATCCCTCAATTTCTTCGACATTACATTTTTTTATCACTTGCTTCATTTCTTTCATCGTAAAGATGTTGTCCTTGAGACAATGTAATTCTTTTCTCTGAAGCTCTGCTCAAACTTGTTGTGGAATTACTCTCTTCTTCTGGGTTTGCTTTGGGGGCTTCCCTCTTAGTCTATAGTATTTTTTTTTCACTATATTTGGCATTTTCTTATATTTTCACCAATTTCTAGCCTCAATTTCTAAATTGAGGTTTTATGTTTGGTTCATACTCCGTACTCTGCCATACTCTTAGATGGTAGGATAGGCCCTGCTTGGTCTTAGACACAGTGGCTAAGGCAAGATCCCATCTTTTATAGGAATTCCTGAATTTTGGCTCAGTCTCTTAATGACTTACTTAAATTTTGGATTAGGCTCTTTCTCTGTCTTCTTTTCCTTGCACAGTCCTAAACCCAGAGTTGACCCTGCTCCTCAAAGTACCTGTGACAGGCCCCAACCAAGTGTTGTCAAATGCGCTGGTATGACCTTCCTGAAAGACTCCAGGTGTTTGGTTTCCTAGGGTCCTACCCCTTCTCTTGTTACGCCTCTCACTGTGCCACAGTCCCTACCCCTGGACACTGGGCTGAGCCTGTCTCCCACTATGGTTCAGGCCAGTGCTGGCTAGGAGATTAATCATCTGGGTGCTGGTCTGGCCCCATCTCAGACATGTCTTAGTGAGGCTGCCTGGGCCACATAATCAATCAATCAACAAGTATTGTTGGGGCACATACCCACTATGTGCCAGAGACTGTACTAAACAATGGGAACAGAATTAAAAGAATGAAATAATTCCTGACTGCAAGGAGCGTACATTCTAATAGGTGAGATGAGAAGGATACACAGATACACACGCACACACACATATAAAAATATATACCAAATAAATATAAAAGGAATAAATACACAGTAGTTAAATAGAAGTCTGAGAGAAACAGAACTAGGAGATAAGGGGATCAGGAAAGGCTTAATGTAAATAATGGTGCTTGAGCATCTTCTTAAAGGAAGAGAGATTCTATAACCCAGAGGTGAGGAAGGACCCTATTCTAGGCATGAGGAGAGTTTATACAAAGCCACAGAGATGGAAATGAAATTTATGTGAGAGGACAAGAGAGAAGGTTAATCATCCTAGATCAAAGAGTGCGGGGGTATAGTGTGTCCAATAAGGCTGGAAATACAGGCCAAGGTTGTGAAGAGCTTTATAAACAAAATAGGATTTATATTTGATTCTAGAGCCAATAGGAAGTCAATGGGGGGGGGGGTTTGATATCATTGGATCTGCCCTCAAGCAAAATCACTATGGCAGTAGTTTGGAGATGAGAAACATTTAAAGAAGGGAGACCAATTGTAATAATCCGTGTGAGAGGTGAGGAAGGCCTGAGTGAAGGCAGTGGCTATGTGAGGGCAGAGGAGGATTTGGACATTATGGATGGAGATGCTGTGAAGGGAGAAATGGCAAGGTTTGACAACTGATTGGTTGGTTATGTGGGGTGGGGGAGGGTGGAGAAGGAGTCAAGGGTAATGTCAAGGTTAGGAACCCCAGCGAATGGAAGAATGGTGGTGCCTTTGAAAGAAACAGGAAAGACTAGAAGAGAGCTTAGGGTAAAGAGGATGCCTCCAGCACAACCAGTTTGAAATGACTAATAAATAGGCAGTTAGTAATATGGGACTGAAACTCAGAGGAGAGACTGGGGGTGGATGTACAGATTTGAAATTCATAGACACAGAGATGATAATCAAACACATGAGAGTTGATGGAGTTATCAAGAGAGAAGGAAGAGAAAGACTAGGGAGCCTAGGACAAAGCCTTAGGAACATGCACAGTTAGGGGGCACAACCAAGGAACGAGACTGAGAAAGAGTGGTCAGACAAGTTAGGAGGAGAATCAGGAAAGGATAGTGTCACCAAAGCCCAGAGAGGAGAAAGCATCAGAAGGAGAAAGTGGTCAACGGTGTTAAATTCAACAGGTCAAGAAGAATGAGGACTGAAAAAGACCTAGATCTGGCAATTATAAGAGCACTGGGGACTTTGAAGACAGGTCAGCAGCTAGAGTGCAAAGGGTTGAGAAGTGGGTGAGAGGAGAAGAAATAGAGGCAGTGGGTGTCAACAGTTTTTCCCCCCACTAGGAATATATAAAGGAAGAAGAGATATGGAAGAATAGCTTGAGGGGATGGTAGGTATAGTGAAGGTGTTTTAAGGATGAGGGAGATAATGGACATGTGTGAAGGCAATAGGTGAGGAACCAGTGGGTAGGGAGAGGTTGAAAGACTTGAGAAAGAGAAGGAATGATTAAGGTTGCCCTAGGTATTAGACACCCTGTCTCCTGTCCCGTGAGGCCTGCACATTGGGCCTTATGCCAACCCTGGCCTAGTCTACACTCAGAGCCTCTGTAGGTTTGTCTAATATAGCATTCAGTAAAGAGAGAAAAAGTGTGCACCCTGTCAGAGAAGAGAAGACAACGAGGATGTGTGTGTCTGTGTGTGTGTGTCTGTGTGTATGTGTGGCCTCAGAAAGGGAAGTTGTCTAGATGTAGGATTTCTTCTGTGCAGGGAACTCCTGGTATGGAAACTTCCTTCACCAATGCAGATCAGGAACTTACTTGTCTCTTAAAGTCTTAGAGAGCCGGCCAGGGCAGTGAGCCATTAAGTGACTTGTCCATGATCATGTAGCTAGTGTGTGTCAGAGGCCTTCCCCAGTCCAAGGCCAGTTTACTACATCCCATGATACTTCCCCTTTCTAGTCAGAGGACCAACACATTTAAATAGGAACCAGTTGGAAGGTAAGGGAAAGTCTATATTTAAACCTACAGCTAGATCCTACAAATCAGGGGGCCCAATTTTTTCAAAGAAGAGACTACTTTTCACTCCCCCAGAACCTAGAATAATAGTATTTGTGTATGTGTATATAGATGTGGTGTTTAAAAAGGTTTTAGAGACACAATTTCTCGGTAATTTAATCATCTT